AACGGTTGCTTATTCTTCACTCCTTTTTCTTAATGCCCACGCCTTGATAAATATCTTCACGTCTTTACTAAAGGCTCCTTCCTTTTTCTTGCTCAGCTCTCGACTCCGCATTTCATTCAGTAGTTCATGTCATGCTTCATGAACTACTTCAGCTCCGTCCTTGAACTACTTCAGCTTCGTCTGTACCATACATCTTCAACTCCTTGTACATAGACACCAATGCTCTTGTCTTCTTTCTTCCAATACTTGAGTTGATTTTGCAGAATCTTGATGTAAGCCCTACTGGGCTTCACATATGTAGTGCTTAGAGTCTCCCATATCTGAGCAGCAGTGAGAGCACGCGAGACCAGCGGTTGAATAGGTAGAGTGATGGCACCAAAGAGCGCACTGTAGATCAAGCTTTCTTGCCTCTTCCAGATCGTATACTCTGGATTGGTGGTGGTTGCATCATCCACTGTAACCATAGGAGATGGTATCATCGTAGATCCATCAAGATGGCCAATAAGATCATATATATCTACCAAGGCATGAACTTGAAGACTCCACATAAAGTAATTTGTGGCTGAAAGCTTCGAAACATTAGACATGTTTATGTTTAGGAATGTTTGTGGAAATGGTGTCAGTGAATGTTCCAAAATTGTTTAGGGATGACGCCATTGTTGTTGACATGAAAAAGAGTGATGAAAAGAAAAATTTAGGTCTTTAGGAGCGACGGCTCTGATACCATATAGATTGTGAAACTTGAATCTTATTAGGAGAAGAGTATTACAGTTTATAGAGCGTAACTTAGGAGACTAGCTAGGTTAATATAATTTACATATGAGTCATTTCCATATATACATTATTAGTCCTCAATATCATGTATCGATGGTTTAGTCTCGATCTGTGCAGAAGTTAAGGATGGATGTCCTTTTTATTACACTGGAAACCTCTGATGCAAGAGTGGTTCCAACTCCCCCTCCCTCCAGGATCATGATAGTTTGCGTAAAAAAACATTTCAGTGACACTGGTTTGGTTACGAAGATGCAAAGTAGGGTTGTTGTGAGTTACAAGGTTGTCTGGATGTTTACACACGAAAGATTATCTGATAAACTTGACTTTATGATATATACTCATCTGAAACAGGGACGTAGAGGAAACAACATGTGTCTTGTCCACATTCCACTGTCTGGACTAATCCATTGCTTTGAACGGGATGATTCACTGGCTTTCAGATGATAGTCTTACTTTTGACCCTAGTTCCATTGTAACTTACGATTTCTATGGAGGTAGTTGTGATGACAATGAATGTCGTATCACACATTTTCCCGGTAATGAGATAGATGAGGTCCGTGGAGATAGCAAAGATGATGATTTACGAGGTTACATGAGAAGCTTCAGTGCCTCTGAAGGATCCATTGTTTATTTCAACGAGTGAAACATTGACGTTACGAGTTTGGATCCATTGGGATCTCAAATTGACTATGGTATCAAGGTCATCCTAACAGTCTCTTATTTTCTCAATATGTTCTCCCTCGCTGGTTGCACCGTCTCCCTTGTCCTCAGCTTACATAGTGTGTACTCTGTTTTGAGCTTGAACCATCCCTCATGTGAAATCGAATGGTAGAAGGCCTCAAATTTCAATTAGGTAATCAATCGTTCTGAGCACTGAGAAATAAGTGTTGTGGATTGTTTATTAGCTTGTTAGTCAATGAATGTTTCACTTGTAGCTTTTCTAACAGATCAGAATATGGGCTATGGACAATACTTCACACTTGCGAAGCAGCCACATTCTCAAGAGATAACACTGATTGCATTTGAGTATATATCATGTTGCCATTCCCAAGGATAAGCTTGTTTTTGTTGTTGTTGATTTTTATCAAGTAGCGGCTTCATGTTTTTGTGTTTCTCATGTTTGGTCAAGTTATATGTCTCGTATTTCTTAAATAGAAGTTATCCAGAAACACATTGACTAGAGAAGAAAGAGAGAACAAATAGTCTCGCATATATGTTTCAGATAAACAAAATAAGTTATTTACAAAAAAATAAAATAAAAAACAAGTTGTTCATCAAAAGTAAAGTTAGAAAACATGATGATGTATATAACATTCAGTTAAAAAAAAAATAATAATCTGTTTAAAAGGGAAATGAGAAAATCCAGAAAATAAATAGGAAAATATGGTTAGTAAATATTTCTTTATAATCAAAATGAAGTTAAACCCTAAAACCCTAAAAAGAGGAATGAGGTAAGTAAGTCGCAGAAGCAGTATCTAGAGTCTTCTTCTCCTTGTTGGTCTATTAAGAGTCACCCACTCTTCTCTCCATAGATCTCACTCCGAACTATCTCGTCCTTAACGTTCGTCTTCTTCCTCCTCAGTCACCACCATGTTTCGCTTCGTTTCTAATCTCGCCTCCAAGGCTAGGTGAGAAGTCTCTTCCTTGCTCTTATTGATTTAGTTTCTGACATTCGATCCAGGGTTTGATCTTATCTCCATGGGTTCTCTAAATCTCCTTGCTTTCACCCCGATTTCTTGTATTGATTTTGTTTTCTCATTTTCTCTCTTCTCAGGATTGCAAGTAACACACGACAGGTAATGTTGCAACATTGGTCTGTAACTCTCTGGTACGAGATTTGTCTTTGGTTCTTATTACTAACTTGATGATTAAGTCTGTGCGTGCTCAGGTATCCAGCAGAATGAGCTGGAGCAGGAACTATGCAGCGAAAGAGATTAAATTTGGTGTTGAAGCTCGTGCTTTGATGCTTAAGGGTGTTGAAGAGCTTGCTGATGCTGTTAGGGTCACTATGGGTCCCAAGGTATTTAAAATCATTTTTAATTTCTGTCTTCTCAGTAAGTACCAGTTTGGTCTGAATTCTTAATGATGTTCGTCTTTGAAGGGACGTAATGTTGTGATCGAGCAAAGTTGGGGTGCTCCTAAAGTGACTAAAGATGGTGTCACCGTTGCTAAAAGCATTGAGTTCAAGGATAAAGTCAAGAACGTTGGTGCCAGTCTTGTCAAACAAGTTGCTAATGCTACTAATGACGTTGCTGGTGATGGTAAGAGATTTACTCCACAACTTGATTCTGCCTTTTTCTTATCTTAATCAGGACTTTTCTTAACTTGTCATCCTGCAGGTACTACTTGTGCTACTGTACTCACCAGGGCGATATTCACCGAAGGTTGCAAATCAGTTGCCGCAGGAATGAACGCCATGGACCTCAGGCGAGGTATTTCCATGGCAGTTGACGCTGTGGTGACTAACCTTAAAAGCAGGGCTAGGATGATCAGCACATCTGAAGAGATTGCTCAGGTTGGGACCATTTCTGCTAACGGAGAGAGGGAGATTGGTGAGCTGATCGCTAAGGCTATGGAGAGAGTTGGCAAAGAAGGTGTAATCACAATCCAAGTAAGTGACTGTCTGAAAATGATTGCGCGACATATTTTGGTTAAATCAGCTAATGTGAGTGACTGATATACTATGCAGGACGGAAAGACATTGATTAACGAGTTAGAGGTTGTAGAAGGGATGAAGTTGGACAGAGGTTACACATCCCCTTACTTTATTACCAATCAGAAAACCCAAAAATGTGTAAGTTTCTTACTCCCACTACTCAGTCTAGTTTCTTGATACTTCAAATCAATTCTGGAGTTGACAGGGTTTTGACTCAATATGCAGGAACTCGAAGAGCCTCTCATTCTTATCCATGAGAAGAAGATCTCCTCCATCAACTCCATAGTGAAAGTGTTAGAGTTGGCGATGAAGGTATGTATGCTTTTATCTTCTTCTTATATTAAATTTGGAAATCATTTTCTCTTGTAAATGTTGTGTTGTGTGAAATGTATCTAATTTGATTTATCCAAATAGAGACAAAGACCGCTATTGATTGTTTCTGAAGATGTGGAAAGTGAAGCTCTTGCAACTCTTATCCTTAACAAGCTACGTGCTGGAATCAAGGTTTGAAACTTAGACAGCTGAAACTTATAATTTAATCTTCTTCTTTAGATTGAGACTAATTGCTTACCTTTCTACAGGTTTGTGCCATTAAGGCCCCTGGCTTTGGAGAGAACAGAAAGGCCAATTTGCAAGATCTTGCTGCCCTTACTGGTGGTGAGGTAAAACATTTGTTGCTTTATGTCCACGTGTCTGTGAATTGTACAGCTATTTTAAAGTCAAGAGTATTGACTATGACTTCGCTTGAAATAGGTTATCACGGATGAGCTCGGCATGAATCTGGAGAAGGTGGACTTGAGCATGCTAGGGACCTGCAAAAGAGTAAGTCTTTGAATTTGAAATCTCTCTTATATAAATAGATTGTAGCTCTTAGTAAGAGATTAGATTCCTCTGACTGTGGCGTTGCCAACAGATCCTTGTTGGATTTAAGTGTTATTGACAAATGTCGGGTTCTTTGTAGGTTACTGTCTCCAAGGACGACACTGTTATTCTTGATGGAGCTGGCGATAAGGCAGCCATTGAGGAAAGATGTGAGCAGGTAATTGTTAGCCTTGTACGGGCCCTGATAACTTTAGTTGGTAAAATTAGTATGCAGTGTCTGCAAGCTTGATTCATAGTTGAAATAAAAATTGTAGATATGAAACAGTTATCATTCTAATTGCTTTTTTTAATGCAACTAACAGATAAGGTCAGCGATTGAACTGAGCACTTCAGATTATGACAAGGAGAAACTGCAAGAAAGGTTGGCTAAGCTCTCTGGAGGAGTTGCAGTTTTGAAGGTTTGTTCATTTTAAAATGTTTCGGCAGTAACCATAGCTGTATGGGTTTTGTGGCTTGTTATGAACCCTGGAGGCTTTTTGTGTATAGATTGGAGGAGCAAGTGAAGCCGAAGTTGGTGAGAAGAAAGACAGAGTGACAGATGCTTTGAATGCTACCAAAGCAGCTGTTGAAGAGGGTATTTTGCCAGGTATGTCGCCGCCACCAGCGAGGAACACTTTCCTCATAAAACTAAACACTTTGCCAGATGATCTTACAGATCAAAACACTTGCAGGAGGAGGTGTGGCTCTTCTATATGCAGCGAGGGAGTTGGAGAAACTCTCAACGGCTAACTTCGACCAGAAGATTGGTGTGCAGATCATTCAGAACGCTTTGAAGGTTAATACTAGTTTAGAGAGAAATAACATCTTTGACCTGGTGATTCTTAAACAAAAGTTGACGGATATTTTTTTTAAACCAGACCCCTGTGCACACAATTGCTTCAAATGCTGGAGTGGAAGGTGCTGTTATTGTAGGCAAACTCTTGGAGCAAGATAACACAGACCTTGGTTATGATGCTGCTAAAGGTGAGCTAACCATCTTTATCAACTTCACCTTCAGTCTATTTGATTTGTTTTTGGTCTCTAGCTAACTCTGGAGAAAAAATTAGGTGAATATGTGGATATGGTGAAAGCTGGAATCATAGATCCTCTAAAAGTAATCAGGACCGCTTTGGTTGACGCTGCGAGGTAATCAAAAACAAAAGCCTGCCAATGCTCATTCTTTTTTGGATATGTCTCGAGCAAAAGCTGAAAATATACATGTTTTTGTTTTGGTTGTTTACAGTGTGTCATCTCTGTTGACAACAACTGAAGCAGTAGTGGTGGAGCTTCCCAAAGACGAAAGCGAGGCAGCTGGAGCAGGCATGGGTGGAATGGGAGGCATGGATTATTAATTACATCACTGAACTATTTTTATGTTTTGGCACAAATCATCACGTTAACGTGATACTTGTATGAGTCTTTTGCCTTTGTTGCTCAATAACAATAAATAGCACATTTGGCAAATGTTTATGATACCATTAGCATCAAAGTTTTTGGAGGCATCATTTGTTTGCACTGATTGAGTGAATAGACACTCTTGGTTTCTAAATCTGTTGATGATAAATTACTTCCACATCTCAAAGCTCAATTAACTTTGTGAAACAAGAGCTAAAACACAAACCGTGCTTAGCAACAATTCACACTGCAATGAACGGTCTCTGAAAGTGTATCATAATTGGAATTCCACAATAATATGGAAATGTCATTATTCTACAAAAGAATTCTCCACTTAACACCCGCCTATACGTATGTACTACTGATGATGCATAATGACGATGTATCAACAATGACATTAGCTCACATCGTGAGAGCTATGGAGCAATAATGACCTTCAAGCCTTTTCCTGTTGTTGCTGCTGCATCACTCTCCAGTGAACTTTTGGCTTCTTCTTCTTCCTAGGGAACGAAGCTGGGTTGTAGTACCTTTCTCTCACCACGACGTCTTGAACATGACTCCAAGTCCTTCCTCTCGGCAAGCTCGTTGGCCACATAAGCCTCTCCGACAAGGGATTTTTCAGACTCTGGTAGAAATCATGCGGCGTCTTGCAAATCACATCCTGAATACAAAACGTTTTTTATAAAGCCAATACTTTTTGTTTTTCTTTTAATAAAAAAAAAACACTGAATACAGAATCTTGTTCATAGATTTTTTTTACCTCTACCATGGCTTTGATCTTGAGAGTTACATGGTTGCTAAGAAGAACGAGTTTTTCAGAGATGTTACGGTGGTTTCGGTAAAGAAGTGCACATTTGAGAACTTGATCTTCTTCTGATGTAGGGGAAGGAGCAGAGCCGGCCCTGGGTCCAAGCACCCTACCAACAAAAATTTTATTTTTGGTCATTTTTTTAATTTTTTGCTTCTAGCCTTAAGAATTCTAGGACCGGCTCTGGGCAGGAGTGAGTTTGGTTTGCTAGGATAGGCTTTGTAGCTGAATCCACCATTTGGTATCAGCTATACACTCTAGGATCCAATCCAGAGCTGAGGAAGCAATCTCTGCTCTTCGTCTAAAGAGAAGACTCCAAGTGAGCTTAGTCTCGTCATTTAGTTCCCTTAACACTGTTCGTGGTACAACCAGACGTGTCCCTTTGAGACCTTGCAGCAAGTGCAGTGGCTGCCTAGACTCCTTGTCGAGAAGAGAAGAAGTGTCCAACAGTACACAATGGTCCTTTTATATCATCATTCCCTCATGCTTGTAACTGCAGTGAAGGCTGCTGCAATCAGGCAGGATAAGCAAATAAATTAAAGAATATAAGACAAGTTGGAACCTCTTGATTATTGTGTGCTTCGATCATTGTGTGCAAAAATAGATTGTTCTGGGCGTATACGGGAACCCAGTTCAGTCTATAGAGCCTGGTTGAACAACCCATCCTAATGACATCACCTTCCTGCACCTCAACACTAGCATCCCTAACCCATGTCCCTATAGAGTTATTACGTATCTTCATATATGTCGTTGTATATTGTCTCAATATTCTCTTAGGGCTTCTCTAGAGTTGTATATATACTTTGTACTAAACGTTCAACCTCAACAAAAGAAACATTACATCATTCATTCTTATGGTATCAGAGCTCTCTTTCTAAGGGCCTTTCTTTTTAGATCTCATCACCCTCTTACGTATTCTTCTCCATCTTCACGACATCATCATGTCTGAATCATCTGCCGAAGTTGTCAATCTCGGTGATACACCAAACTCAATTGTCTCTGTCAACATGATCAATGTGAAAAAGCTATCATCAACAAACTACATCACGTGGAGTGTGCTCAAGTCAAGTCACTATTCTGTGGCTATGACCTCTTTAATTTCATCGACTCCACCGTCGATCCGCCGCCGAAGACCATCACCAATTCCGGTAGCGAAGAAGCAAATCCTGCTTACACTAAGTGGAGACGACAAGACAGTCTTCTCTACAGCTCTCTCATGGGTTCCATTGAGATTGCTCATCAGCCGCTCATTGCAAGTGCTGCCACCGCACTCGAAGCTTAGAATCTACTCGCTTCGACGTACGCCAAACTTTCTCGTGGTCACATTAAACAACTCAAGCAACAACTGAAACAGAGCGTCAAGGGAACAAAGTCCATTGACGAGTATATGCAACAGATAAAGGTCAAATCTGATGCACTTGCGTTACTTGGAAGTCCTGTGGAGCATGAAGATCTCACGGATCTTGTTCTGGAGGGTCTTAGTGATGATTAAAAAAACCGTCATTGAAGCTGTTCAGAGCCGTGACATGCCCTGTAGGAGGTGGGCCGTACCTGCCCTTCAAGGCCCACGAGAAATCACACTCGGCCCGGCAACAACTGAAGTCAAAACCGAGTGGCTTCCGTACGAGTACGAAAACGGATTATTGAGCCGACGACATGCCCAATACTGGAGGCCCATGAACCGAGAGCGACCTAGGTTAAGACCGAAGAGCTCGAGCTATAAAGACGGAGAGAGGCAACACAAGAAGGGGATCCGAAATTAGAAACAGAGACGGCGGCATAGACTAGAGCAAGTAGCTAGATTTATTTCGTTGTCTTTTCCGATTAAACCCGAATCTCGGCACGGCTTCCGGTCGCCGGGATTCTTTCTGTACTCTCCCCGTTTATAAATAAAACCTATTCACCCGGTTCATTTAGATTCGCACCTTTGTAATAACCCACCGACGAGTCCCGTCACTCATTTCACTGATACACGACCGAACTCGGTACAAACAGNTCGTTGTCTTTTCCGATTAAACCCGAATCTCGGCACGGCTTCCGGTCGCCGGGATTCTTTCTGTACTCTCCCCGTTTATAAATAAAACCTATTCACCCGGTTCATTTAGATTCGCACCTTTGTAATAACCCACCGACGAGTCCCGTCACTCATTTCACTGATACACGACCGAACTCGGTACAAACAGTTGGCGCCCACCATGGGGCATAACAAAGTAGTGTGGTAAAAAGAATGAACGAAGAAACCCCTCCCGCCGACGAGCAGGCGGAGGAAACGCCACCGGTTCAGAACCCTGAAACCCTCATGGATTCCGTCATGGCTCGCCTTGCTCACCAAGAAGAGGTTCAAAAAACGACTAACGAGCACCTTGCGGCCATCGCCGCCGCACTCGCAAACCCAGACGGAAATCTCTCCACGGCTCGCCGATTCCTCTTCAACACAAACCCTACTCCTACTCCGGCGAACCAACCCATCCAGCCGACTGACACACCGGTTGACACCGCTCAACCGGCTGACAACCCAGATCTGCGAACCATTCGGGAGATCGCCGAGCTAAAACTCGCTCTACAGGAGATTCACTCTCAGATTCACCACGTGACGAGTGCGGCCCCACAGATAGATAAAGTTCTCGCGACCGCCCTCCGTACACCCTTCACTCGTCGCATTACCGACGTTCGGCTACGAATCACGGAGAAAATCCGCCTGCCTACTTTTGGCGGCACTGACGATCCATCGGAGCATATGACAGCATTCAACATCGCCATGGGTCGAGCGAACTTCACCGACGCCGAACGAGACGCCGGCTTTTGCCAGCGGTTCGTTGAGAGTCTCGAAGGAGCCGCGCTGAACTGGTTCTCGCGCCTGCCGGAAAACTCCATTGACACTTTTCGCGACCTCTCTACGGCCTTCTTGAAGCATTACATCATGTTCACTAACCAGAAAGCCACCGCCTCCGATCTGTGGAAGCTGTCCCAGATGCACAGTCAGACCCTGAGAGACTTCATGGAGAAATTCAAGGAAGTCGTGTCCAAGGTAGACGTCCCCGACAACATCGCAGTGGACGCCCTGAAAAACACGCTTTACATCCACTCAAAATTCCGAGAAGACCTCTATCGCAACCCAACGACTTCACTCCAAGACGCCATCGCACGTTCGAACAATTTCATCCGAATGGAAGAAGACACCAAGGCGATGATAAGTAAACAACACGCGAGCAAACCTGCACCGAGCAAGACCCCCGATTCAAAGCAGGAGCCGAGACAACACTCGGCGGACGAAAAACAGTCCAAGAAGAAAAGTTTCGTCTACATGGTAGACGAGGACGCCATCTCCAACTCGACGGTTGTAGTTCGCGCCAAAGGATGGAATCACTATAACCGAAAGGAGGACGATGCATCGGGCGAACCAACATCCCAAAAACCTGACACCGACGAGCGCGAACCATATTGCTCCTACCACAAATCCAGGGCGCACGACTCGAAGGATTGCAAGCAGCTCAAGGAGATATTGTTCGGAAAATACTCCCATGGTGAAATCCCAACAGATCCTCCGAAGCCGCGTCCGAAAGGAAATAATAGCTGGAGCAAGAACAAGGACAAAAGAGGGCAGAAACCATCCGGCACGCCTAGCAAGGCAAAAGAAGACGCATCAAAACCTGAGGAAAAAACCGAGCCCCGTGATCGCGACGAACCGCCCCCGGAGGAGGAACAACCAAAAAATAGGAAGAGGATCCAGGTCATACTCACCGGCCCCGAGTCATCATCCGACGACGAGAACGAATCCCGCGACTTACGTACGCTCCTTACCACACGACGCCTGGCCCGCACGCCGGATGTCTCCCACGATCTCCGAGATACCATAAATCGTTGCAAAACCCGCCGAATCTCACCAGAAGCAAAAGCTGTCGACCTCCGGGATAAACTGAACTCCGCTAAGAAAGATCTCCGGGAAACGCTTAACCAATCGAAGCAACTTGATCTACGCAACCATTTAGATACGATTAAATCCCTCGCCAAGTCCAATCCGCATTCGGGAGCAAGCACTCGGCTAAATTTTATCATGGGAGGATCACCGCCTTACGATGAGCTAGTACGTTCCGTACAAACCGACCACAAACGCGCGAAATCCTCCGGAGGCCGGCATGTGCAGCCCTCAGACGAGCCTCGAATCACGTTCTCCGCCGAAGATGCCCGCGGGGTACACATGCCTCACAACGATCCACTGTTAATCGAGGTAGGGATCGCCGACTGCGAAGTAACTAAAGTCC